CAAGCACGTGAATTTTCGCAACGATCACGGGTGTGTAGCTCAGTGGTAGAGCGGCTGACTGCAGATCAGCAGGTCCTCGGTTCAAATCCGGGCGCGCTCTGTATCAATATCGTCAAACATCTGTTCCAACCATCCTGTGGCTTGGCTGGGGTTACAAGCACGTGAATTTTCGCAACGATCACGGGTGTGTAGCTCAGTGGTAGAGCGGCTGACTGCAGATCAGCAGGTCCTCGGTTCAAATCCGGGCGCACCCTGTATCAATATCGTCAAACATCTGTTCCAACCATCCTGTGGCCTGTCAGGGGTTACAAGCACGTGAATTTGTGCAACGATCACGGGTGTGTAGCTCAGTGGTAGAGCGGCTGACTGCAGATCAGCAGGTCCTCGGTTCAAATCCGGGCGCGCCCTGTATAAATATCTCCAAACATCTGTTCCAACCATCCTGTGGCTTGGCTGGGGTTACAAGCACGTGAATTTTCGCAACGATCACGGGTGTGTAGCTCAGTAGTAGAGCGGCTGACTGCAGATCAGCAGGTCCTCGGTTCGAATCCGGGCGCGCCCTGTATAAATATCGCCAAACATCTGTTCCAACCATCCTGTGGCTTGGCTGGGGTTACAAGCACGTGAATTTCCGCAACGATCACGGGTGTGTAGCTCAGTGGTAGAGCGGCTGACTGCAGATCAGCAGGTCCTCGGCATACATCGGACCGAGGCTCGATTGGATCGAGATATCGAAAATCGATCGATTGTTCGGTGCTAATCAATCGAGGATGCTGCGGCGGGCAGACGAATCGATTCGATTCGAGAAATCGATCCACCTCGAAATTCGAAATTCATTGAAATGCTCTTCTACGTCAGCATTGAGAGTTACTTATAGGGTCTACAGCACCTATCATATTATTGCAACAATTCAGGATGCCTTTAGCAAAGCACTTCCACGAGAAGAAAAGTAAGGGTCGAGGCTAGACCGCTCAGTTGATAGCCACAGGCACTGGGAGGCTGTCTGATTATCTGACTCGGATAGACTCCATCAGCGAGGTACTGAATATCCGCGCACGACCTTGCTGTTCGCCCGAGGCGAATCGCTTCGCTGTGGCACGCTGCCAATTGCGGCGACAGCCAGATATTCTGCAGATGCCGATTCCCCGGGTCGGAAGGATGGTATTCCCCGGGTTCGGTCAGATAATCTGACTCAGATTGCGCTTTTGCCTCGAGCCTCGACGAACCCTCGAGATTGTTCTTCGGTAATTCAGAAGAAGATTATCCAAATACTATTTCTGAGCATAATCCACACCGCAAATTCAATATCCCTAGTAGCGGCTACTAAGTAGCCTAATAACTCTAATAGTTATCGCATATAGCATAGGTTCAAAAATCCGGATTCTTCGCCCCGCCCCTAAATTACTCAATCCGCCCCTAAATTGCTCAAATATGCCACATGCGTTCTAAAGTTGGATGAGTCATCCGCTATCGTTACAGCTTCTCTGAGACTGACATACATGGCACAGTTTCTATCTCAGTGACCCATACCAGTGTGCTTAGCTAATAAATGTAGTTACGTGGTGGAGCTCAGTACGCTCAGTACGTGTTCAGGGCGGCCATTGGCCGCCGGTCAAGATCAGTAGATAGCACGGCTCAACACAACGATGTGAAATTAGATTGATCATTGCGTCGGCCAAGGTTTCGAAACATTCAAGCCAGTGGTTGGTCAGGTTCGAACATGTATCTTTGAGACGGGCAAAGTCAGTAGATAGCACGGCTCAACACAACGATGTGAAACTAGATTGATCATTGCGTCGGCCAAGGTTTCGAAACGTTCAAGCCAGTGGCTGGTCAAGTTCGAACATGTATCTTTCAGATGGCCAAGGTCAAGCGTGATGCACATGAGTTTTCCTCAAGATGTCATGGCAGTCAACAAAGCCACGTGACATGCTTGCAGTGAAGCTTCAGGGACGCTCGGGTAGCTTGAAAAGTTAGGGGCCGGTACGAGTCATTTAGGGGCGGATTGGGCAATTTAGGGGCGGATTGAGTACCTTAGGGGCGACGAATCTAGGGGCGCGGATGAGCAGGTGCCGGGTTTCAGTGGTTCCATTGTGCGCAACTTTTCGAAATAGAAAATACATAAAAATGCCGGAGCCTTGGATCGAACCGGCGTCCCTAAATCGAAAGAATCGATTCGAGATCGATTCTCGGTTACCGGTATCGATATTGGACCAATCGATTGTATAACCTCTGGGACCGAATCGATTCGAGATCGAGCCTCGAAGCTCGAAAAGTTCAGAAGTATGGTCCTCGGTTCAAATCCGGGCGCGCCCTGTATAAATATCTCCAAACATCTGTTCCAACCATCCTGTGGCTTGGCTGGGGTTACAAGCACGTGAATTTTCGCAACGATCACGGGTGTGTAGCTCAGTAGTAGAGCGGCTGACTGCAGATCAGCAGGTCCTCGGTTCGAATCCGGGCGCGCCCTGTATAAATATCGCCAAACATCTGTTCCAACCATCCTGTGGCTTGGCTGGGGTTACAAGCACGTGAATTTCCGCAACGATCACGGGTGTGTAGCTCAGTGGTAGAGCGGCTGACTGCAGATCAGCAGGTCCTCGGTTCAAATCCGGGCGAGCCCTGTATAAGTATCGTCAAACATCTGTTGCAACCATCCTGTGGCTTGGCTGGGGTTACAAGCACGTGAATTTATGCAACGATCACGGGTGTGTAGCTCAGTGGTAGAGCGGCTGACTGCAGATCAGCAGGTCCTCGGTTCAAATCCGGGCGCGCCCTGTATCAATATCGTCAAACATCTGTTCCAACCATCCTGTGGCTTGGCTGGGGTTACAAGCACGTGAATTTGTGCAACGATCACGGGTGTGTAGCTCAGTGGTAGAGCGGCTGACTGCAGATCAGCAGGTCCTCGGTTCAAGTCCGGGCGCGCCCTGTATCAATATCGTCAAACATCTGTTCCAACCATCCTGTGGCTTGGCTGGGGTTACAAGCACGTGAATTTGCGCAACGATCACGGGTGTGTAGCTCAGTGGTAGAGCGGCTGACTGCAGATCAGCAGGTCCTCGGTTCAAATCCGGGCGCGCCCTGTATCAATATCGTCAAACATCTGTTCCAACCATCCTGTGGCTTGGCTGGGGTTACAAGCACGTGAATTGGCGCAACGATCACGGGTGTGTAGCTCAGTGGTAGAGCGGCTGACTGCAGATCAGCAGGTCCTCGGTTCAAATCCGGGTGCGCCCTGTATAAGTATCGTCAAACATCTGTTCCAACCATCCTGTGGCTTGGATGGGGTTACAAGCACGTGAATTTGCGCAACGATCACGGGTGTGTAGCTCAGTGGTAGAGCGGCTGACTGCAGATCAGCAGGTCCTCGATTCAAATCCGGGCGCGCCCTGTATCAATATCGCCAAACATCTGTTCCAGCCATCCTGTGGCTTGGCTGGGGTTACAAATGCGGGCGCGCCCTATGCCCCATCTCAATTCATCTCAATTCACGAATCATCAACCTGGTGGACACAACATGTCCGGAAATTGCTATCTGTGACCTTAAATTCCCAAATGTGTCACTCCCATACTCGGAAATGGCGACTATTCATCGCCTTCACCTGACCATGTCCGAATATGTTGCTCGCGGCATGTGACGTGACATGGCTTCGTGGGACCCTCCCCACTTCGCCCCAAATGCGACTGGGAAACTCTCTTTTACCGAGAGGAAATAGATCACAAATCACGTTTAAGGAATTCGGAGGAGACAATAGCAGACAGATTTTAGCGCGTAAACTCCCTTGATGTGTTTCGGAGAGACGTCAGAGGATTTCAGTTGTAATGCTGATGTGGCAATTGGCCTCTTTTGTGCTCAGGGACATGGTGAATATACCGATGGTATATTCCATTCCTTTATTTCTTTTGTCATTCATCGTGCTGTGCACGACATAATACCATGCACAGCACGATTTATGAAGCAAGTTTCGATGGAGCTCACCTGGTGCAGAAAAGCAGGGGATGTGATCATACTGCAGCTCCATATGGGAATAGGATAGGCCATGGTTACGGTTATAGCTCGAGATTGGAATCACCTGAACGAAGAATCGATAGCGGAATCAGAGCTGCTAACAGCATCGTAACAATGCAACATACCTCAAGACACCAGGTTCGACAACATCTTGATCGATCTGCCCCTCATCCTTGTACGGCTGCACTATACCGATTATCCGATCTCCACACGGCAAGGCATATCATACATATTAGTTGTCGGATATGGTATGATCGGAGTTACCAGTGGAGTTGATTTCTTGGCAAGATCATAAAACATAATACATGTTGAGGAAGCGTACTTGGAAGAAACCCGAAAAGATTCGGCAGATGTTTTCTCGAACATTCAACAATCCAACGTGGCTGATAGTGAAACTTGTTGATCAATAGGTGAGAAAACAAATCCTATCTATATTTCGAGAAGTCAAGATTCATCGCCTCGCAAGCGCTGCTGGCTTTGAAACCAATGTCGGCCTCTTCTGCTACTCTCGTCATCTCAGCATCAGTGAGTTCAAACGAACTAACTACAGTCATATTCGAAGCAACCCTTTTCAGATTGCAAGTCTTCGGAATGGTAACTATACCTACCATCAGTAGAACATCCCCCAGCAATCAAGCCATACACATTCGTTCGAAAGATGTGTAAAACTTGATCGACAAATTTCGTCGGCGGAACCGCGCTACCCACAAGGCTCGACTTAGCTACTACAAGCATGCTAAATTCGGCGAGCCATAACAGTATCAATATGAGCAGCAGATACCTCAACGATGAGACTCCAAGCTGGGAATGACACTCCGCTTCTGATATATCGCAAGTAGAAATCTTGAACAACTGTTCCTCCAACCCGTGCAATGTACCAGATTGTAGTGCCCAGCGAAGGCAGACGTCAGCTTCCTGTACTCCATGAGCCACCGCTATATCCTGGATGACCTTATTCTCCTCAGAACCGAACATCTTGCATCTCGCTAGAGGACAGAACCCCATAATTACTATGCCGTGCTCGTCAGAGTACCTGAAGCGGTGTATTAAAATGTACATGGTCAACTACGTGTGTTGGCGATCATACGAAAATTCTGAGAAAATTGGCGGAAATTCTCAGTGGTTTCCGTACACCCCTACCCAAATTGTATAAGACTGCTACGATCGAGTGAACTCCTGAACCCAGCTGAGGAAAGCAAGCATATATCCCAACACTGAGCAGAAGGGACCGGTTCACAATCCCGGACGTATGCTGAGTCGTCGAGAACATGTTGATTGCTACATCTTCAATAGAGAGCCCCGACTCACTTCCTTAGCTCTTTCTGTTGCAACCACGGGTGCAGCTCTACTTGGTTGACTGCAGGATACTCGCCACCGGTAGCCTCGACAAGACTTTCAATTTGCTCGATCCCAAAATTAGACACTCCAATGAATCGGCATTTACCCTGAAACGCACGAATGCTCCACCCCTCACAGTAGCACAAATAAAGAGCTTCGCATTGATCAAGGAAGTAACAGAAGTTGCCGATCGCAAATGAGTGGAATCTCAGGTCTAGCTGCAGGGTGGTTATCGCGTGGCTGGATATGAATCAGCGACAGAGACGCTGACTGCAAACTAGCATTTTATAAATCGGAGCTCGGATACCCCATTTTAGAATATGAATTGAAAGGCTGGATTCAGACAGGCCACTGCGACAGTATTTCACCGCTGATGAACTGCTCGATAGGAGATCAGCTGAATGGAAAATAAGAGGACCGCAGTTCAACTACGAGGCCAGCTTTGTGGATTACAATGCAGAACGATTGCTTACATTATCTCCAAGCAACACTCGGAATTCAAGGCTTGACTAGACCCCCGGAACGCGGAGCAAATAAAAAGAATGAATATTATTTCCATGGTTATATAATCTAGTGGTTGAGCAGTTGGCCCGTACAAATCCGGACGCGACATCAACCAGAAATACTACTTCTAACAACAACATCAGAAATATTCCTTTTCCGAGTTTTCTATACTCTGACTACATCCAACGCTCGATCGATCTGTTCCTACCTCGTGTCGAAGCTTCTTCAGTGTGCACCAAGTTTCCACCAGCTTTCCCCCGGCAGGTGTGTGTATGAGCACCAAGTCCACATAGCTCGTTCCCAGCTTCGCCAAGCTTTCCTCAATGCTAGCCCTCGTGGCGTGCTCACCATGGTTCAGTTGATTAACCTGATTGGAACCAATCGAAGGCCTCCCAACAGCCATTTTCGGAACTCAATCTTTCTCACCGCCCTACATTATAGTAAACCCTCACTTTTTGGACTACCGAACTCACCTTGCACGACTTCGTATGACAGAACAGATCACTACATGGCAGACTAGGCGGTCAACAGTTATAAACCACTTGATATTCACAATCGTCGATATCGAGTATAGTCCTATCCCGTCTCACTTACTACAGGTTCCTCAGTTGCTACCACACTACAGCATTGCTTCAATTCACAATCAGAGGCTCTCATTCAGTAAAAGCCTCATTTCGCTTGAGGATTAAATCCATACTGGATAAGACTTATTCCAGACTGGAATTTCCAGTTATTGCCGATCAATTCGATCTCACGAAGGATATATACGAAGTGGAACTACACTAGGTACTATAAGTAAACACTATACTGCACATTATATCAGTGTGGGAATATAGGCACATGGTCAGCTACATGTGTTGCTGGAAATATGGAATTTTTGGGGAAATTTTGGGGAAATTTTGGGAGACATTATCGTTGATTTTCGTACACTTCTACCCAAAATCGTGTGAATTCTTCATAATATAGTGAGGAAATTTACGAGCTGAGTTGAGGAAACCAAACATATATTCCCACACTGCATTATATAGTAATGTGCAGCATACTAATGGAATTACTTTGTGTGTAGTATATCACATTACACTTCCCTTAAAGCTGTCGTTCAAGATCGAACTAATACTGAATCGATAGCGAGGCCTCAGCAGCAGTCCCAAACCGGTACCACCTTAGTGACAAGGAAAATATCTTTCCTCGGTACGCCAGACTCAACAACGCCTCGTCCAACTTCCTCCTCGTTCTCATACATCTGCGCTGTATCGATCAATCGATATCCACATTGTAGAGCATATTTGACAGCCTCTTGACATTCACCATCATTAGCCAGCCATGTGCCCAGCCCGAAGGTTGGGATGCTGCCT